ACTGGGTGGGCGTCTCCGAGAACCCCCAAGGCTTAAAAGAAGAGTTGTTGAAAGAGTGGGATAAATTGCCCCATTAACTCATAAATTCCTTTATTTCCGGTATAAAATCACGGTGCGATGCCTGTTTATGTGGACAATACCCCTGATTGAATCATTTTTTGTTATATTCTGCAGTTGATGTTTCATATCTTCTGACTTTTATGAGTGTGGCGCATAATTATACATGCGCATTTTAACTATTGTACGGTTATTTTTTTTTATTTATATCTGCTCTATATAGATACCAGATTTCATTATATTCGGTCCTAGAGATAATCAACAAAATCTTAAGATTCTCTTAATTTTAAACACCAGTGTAGTATGTGATATAGCTGATAGATAGATTAAGAACTGAAGTGATAAAAATTATGGTGCTCGAGGCGTCAGTTGGCAGGTGTAGTTCCACATCTATTTGAAGGGTGGTGGTAACAGGAAATAACAATGGATGTACCAATAGACACGTAGCTTCTTCCACCAGTCAGTTGAACAGAAAAGCAGAAACATATGAATAGTGAAGAGATTTCCAATGTAAACATTTAGTGGCTGTTAATTCCTTTTTAAACATCTTGTACAGATCTTGTTTAGGTGGAAGTCAAAATATATTTTACATATCACGTCACTTTTGAATCCAAAGCGGAAACCATACAATAATATTTAGTTTCATCACTCACGTTATTAGCCGCACAGAATTGACTCACCACTTGAACAATATGCATCCGGGAAGATTTCCCCAAAACGAGTCCGTTTATTTGATAACCTGGTCACAGCAACAATAGCTGCACAGTACCAACCATTAAAAATACTAGCAAAGACAACAAGGAAAAGGTGTATATTTTTAAAAAAAATTCTAAGGTAAAAATTCGAAATTCAAAAAGTAAATACCCTCAAAATGAATGGAAAAAGCCAAAAAATATAACAAAGCATGACCTGTGCTCTAGGACTCAAAAAACCCTTACGACTTTAAAAAATGGCACGGTCACATAAAAGTGGAGTTCCGTAGCACTGGCAAAAGATGGATGCATGAAGATTGCTAGAAATAGTTCATGTAAATTATGGCCACTAACTTAGAAAATAAAGGTAGCAAAAATCTGAATACAGTAAATTCAGATAAGGCGGAGTAATTAATTTAACTCTAATAACACTTATCAGGTATAAAAGAAACTTAACTAAACCTAAACATACAGAAAGCATTGATATTGCAAGGAAAATTCAGTTAAAAAAACTTTGAATTCACTAAAACAATCTTTTGTAGCTCTTTTATAGATGGTTGATGTAGGTTCGCATTTATTTGATAGGTAGTGCTAACTTGCAAAAACGATGGATTTAACGATGGTCACTGTAACCTTTAACAGTAAGATAACGTCTAATAGCACACATCAGTCAACGAGATCTAAAGAAACACACATTCATCCTTACCCTTCCAAGCGGTCTGCACGTAAAATCCCGTCATTCCAGAGATGCTTTTTCTGCCTTCAAGCATTATTCCCAAAAGCGACCGAGCCGCATTCTTAAAAATACGGCTCAACCGCTTTTGAGAACCCCACCTGACGACAAAAAAATACGTGCGGTGCATTTTCGAAGCATCTCCAGAATGGCAAGACTTTACGTGCAGACCGCTTAGAGGGTTAATTCTCTACAAACCTCCAACAATCGAGCACGGTTGGGACAAGTTTTCAGGCTGCTTGCATTTCCTACCACTGTCATGTTCAGAAGAAAAACTGTGACAAATGGTGGACAAGGGATGACGAGATATTCGTCAAAACGCCATCCCTACTCTTACTGAATCTGTAACTAGATGTATTGTTGCGAGCATTACCGTCCTTGATGATTCTACGAATCACTCAGCTGACATGTGTCTCAGCTTGCCTAGTTTTTTTAGTTTATGTTCACTCTTTTTAGTATTGAATTTTCAATATTACGTAGTAAGTATTTTGTCTAAATTATTCTCATTAAAATTAAGCTGACTGTATGTTTAGTTCTTTACAATACTATACTGCCGCCCATCCGGTACAGTGGTTAGCGACGCTGACTTCTGTGCCGTTGAGACTGGCTTCGAATTCCGGATAAGACAAGGATGTTTGTAAATGTATAGTGCCTCCGAGGCATAGGGGTGCTTTAAATAGCCGTCGAGCCACAAGTCCTCTTGTGTAGTTGGTGGAAGGGGAAGAGAGGTGGGAGGCCCCTGACCACCCCCAGGGTGTTCTCCCTCAAAATTCGGATAAAACCGAGCTAAATCGTTCTGTCACCTGTATGGTACTCAAAGCTACGGCTAACGACAGGCGTCACTTAGCCCTTTGCCATTATGAATTTCGTGAATCTTGATCTGGCCTTTGCCGATCAGGTGGCATTAGTAACAATGCTAAACTAAAAATAAAATAAAACTAAAATAGTAAATAAAACTTTATAGCTGAAATAGCTCGAGGAATTTTCATATTACATAAAAAAATGAAAACAATTTAATCATGCCAAGTACATTCAATTAACAATAACGATACATTTTCTTTTCTTAGCCATAATTTGCCATTTAATTAGCCATTGCCATTTGCCTTTTAATTAGCCATAATGCAAACCCAAAATCCATTTTAAGGTAAATTCTACCCGCTATTAAAACCATAAAAATATTCTTAAGATGATATTTAATATCCCATTAAATATACACGGTAACTTACTTCAAATTCTTTTAATTCATAAAAAAAAATAACTATACTGTATCTATATCTTTTATTTGAAAATTTGTGTACTTAAATATCAAATTAATTTTTCATGGAAAGCATATAGTTCATTTAAAAATTCATTTCATTTAAAGCCACATCTTTTCTTTTGGGTGAAGTTTTTATTTCGGAAATAATTTTACATTAAACGAAAAAAAAAATTATTTTTTGTTGTTGCTTGTTATTTACCCATAAATTTATTCTTAGAATTCTCAGGAAACAGGCACTCAGCTAAAAATATCTCCTTATTTCTCTTGTATTTTTCTTTTGAAGGAAACAATTTGCAAACATATAAAAATTATTCTGACAAAACTGTTCGTGGAAAATTTCTTGGATATGAAAAATGTATGTTTTAAAATAACGCTAGCAAAAGGAGACTTGCTTCCTAAGTAAACAAAGCCAAAAATGAAAAAGAAACAGGTTTAAATCAATCATTTATTTATAAAATTGATACATTCCACGAACAGGATTAAAAATTAAGCTGCGCAGGGAATGGTTGTATTTTTAAAAGAAATCAATTAATTGTGCGTATTAAATGAGAAGAGTATAATTTTTCTTGACATTTTTGTCCCTGTCATATCTTTTTAAAAATATAGTTTTAACATATATTTCCTGGAAATTTTTGTTAAAAATACTTAAACAGTTTTAAAACAGATAAAATTTAATGTAAAAAATAATTTCGCATATGACTGAAAAAAATAAAAATGATTTAAAATATATCAAAGAGGTTTTGCTAATTCTTAGTCAAAGAACAAAAATGTGTTTTAATGTGTGCCTTGGACGTCAATTTTTGAGAAATCCATTCTTAGCAAAAATATAAAACAGAAATATGCCTGCCAAATTTCAAGTTAATCAAACTAATAACTCAAGAACGAGAATCTTTGTCCATAACACCTCCGCAATCCTCCTGGAAAGTAGATTTTCGCGAAGTCTATATGTTCTTAGCGAAAATCTACTCATCAAAAGTAACATTCCTGTAGAATTTCAGGTCTGTAGACTTAATGGACATAGGAACTCGGGATGGGTGAGTCGGTTAACTCCTATATATGTAAAGCTTATGTTTGACATTTGTCTTTGAATACTAAATTGAATGAAATGGAAAACAAACACAAATGTAACTTAATATAAATAATAAACGAAAATATGTTCTAAACATGACAGAAAGAGTCCTATTCAAGTTCAACGTACACTAATTTATATCTTAATTAGTAAGCATTTTTATTTTACTACAGTCACAATGCAGGCTACAATTATCAACTTTCTTTTGATTATTTAGCTGACACACAACTTACATTATAGTATATTAAATTAATCAGGATTTCACAGTATGCAGCAAGGTTAAAAATCAAATCGTTATACCAGTGGGATCAGTCATCGTGAATTGAAAGAGTTTCCAACCCTTTATTGAATAGTTATCTTATACATGATAAAATGCACAGATTCGTGGAACCTCCTTCTGCTGAAGGAAAACAGAAATGGCTTCGGGAGTCATATTTACATTGTAAATATTGCAAAAGGGGCTTACAGATAAACTTGGGGCATTAATGTATGTATATATATATATATATGCACACATACATTAATGCACGTTGATGCAGTTAAGGGAATGTTTGAATAACAGGTTTGGGGGAAAATCCGTAAATATGGGGGGAATTTGTTAAATATTAAAATTTTAAGTGTATGTTCAAACTGCAGGAACATCTGCTAAATTTACAAAATTTTCAAAGCTTGATCATACATCTTAAAGCACAAAAAATGTAAATTGCATATCAATAAATATGAAATATTACGCAGAGATATTTTCAATGAAAGTTTAACTTTTCATCACTGTAGTATTGAATTTTTATAGTATTTTATTTTATGGACATCCACAACATAATGCACAAGGGAATTTAAACGAATAACTTATAACGAATTAGTTAGGTTTTAAATTATACTTGTTTTTAATTTTGGTTTAGAGAGATATTTATATTAAAATAGAGCTAAACTTTGGCAGTTTTTCAATTCTTACTATTAGTTCACACTTTCCCTGTATATTTATATATACCTTGTTCAAATTTTCAATCCTTAATAAAATACTTTTTATTCATCCACTCAAGTTCAAATACATTTTTTAAGATTTGTAGTGGAAGACACTTGACGTTAATACAGCATTTTTTTTCAAATTCATTAATTCTATTTAATTAATGAATAAATAGTAACAAACAAAAATAATAGTTTACCACCATGTACAAAAAGATAGCTCGTCCAATCCCTGTAGTGCAATAAATATCGCGTTGAACTTCTAATCAAAAATTCGTGGGTTCGAATCCCACCTGGGATGGCCTAATTTCTCAGAATGTGATTTCTTTTTACTATACTATTTTATTGGAATAATTAAATTTAATTAATGATTAGAAGATACAAACAAAAATAATAGTCCAACACACTACAGAAAGGAAAGCGGAAAATTGCAAGGAAAATCGCTTTCTTTTTTGCCACTTAATACTGTGATTGTGTCATATGTATATACATATTTATAAATAATTGTAATTTAATAAAAAACTAACTAAAATAAAAATTTTCCTTGTTGGACTAAGTAGGAATTGACTTTTTTTTTTAAATTACTTGTTTCGAGTTATTGCTGCGAGTTTAGGGTTGATAAGACGAAATTATTTCGGAAATTTTAAACCATCCCTTTTTGTTTAAGAAATATGAACTAATTTTCATTATTTTTTCACATTTCTATATTAATCATTATCAATGGGATTTTATGATCAGCGATGTTTAAAAAGACATGTATAAATTCTGTAACTTCCTTTAATTGCATTCTATATTTTAAAGTTTATTTAATTTATACAGTGAAACCTTTAATATTATAGTTTACATTCCTCCTTTAAAATAAATTATTAGAAATTCAAATTAATATATGTTCAATAAATGCGTCTTGCCCGCTATTCGTATACTCTCTTTGTGCGAGTTTCAGAAAATAGCTTTATATTCCATTTACAATAATGTGTACATTAGTATATTATTTTATAACGCTAATAATAACATTGACTAACAAAATTATTTATAATCCTTAAAATACAGGACTTCATAGGGAAAAGATAGTCTCTTTAAACATTTGATACGTTTCTGTTTTTCTGTAAAGTTAAGATTTTAAATCTTGCATTACAATATAAGCATGTAATTCTATCTTTTTCATATTTAAGTATACAATATTAAAATAAATTTGTATAGTGTTAACTTAATACGTTATACTTAAGAATAAAAAAATTATACACGTTTTAGAGTAAAGTATTTTTAAAATTAAACATATTATTACTTAGTTTCCTTGCATCGCAATTTGATTAGCTCATAAACATACTAAAAACTTATTTAATTTTTTATAAAATTTTTCAAAAATATAACATTAAAAAAGAATTGTGATTTATTTATTCTCCTATTTTCAGTTTGAAAATAAATTTTAAATTGAATTCCTGTTTGAAAAAAGCTGCATACATCTACTATCATTAAAAATGAATAGTTCCTTCAATAAGAATATATACAAAGAAAGCTTACAATGTAAACGTATCTGCGCAAAATACAAATAATTTCTAAAATAATATTTTATTTATATCTGAATTTCAAAAAATTTAAAAATTTGCTCTCCTATAATCTAAAACTCTTTTTCATGTTTTTTTATTGTTTGTTGATCATGCTTCGAAAATTTAAAGGACTTCAACTGCTTTTCACAGAATATGTTAGAAATAAAAAGCAATCTTATTAATAGAATTTTTTTTAATTAACTTCAGCCTGGTATTACACGAAAAGATATATATTAAAAAACAACTTGCTTACCTTTTAAAGTATTGAATGTAATAATATAGAAAAATGAATAGTGTTCGTACAGATCTAATTGAATTTCTTAAAAGAGGAATTTTTGAAAATATTTCGTTAATTTTTCAAAAATGCCGACAATAGACAAACGAATTTTGCAGTGATTTCATTTCGTACTCTTAGATGATAACACATTTCCATTATTTTTCAAATATTGCTTTGCTTCTACAATTTTCCTTTGTGATAAAATACAATCTTTTTAATGGGCATTATATATTTTAATACATTTTACAAAATCAAATATTCAAAACTTGTATTGCTTAAGGTATCCGACTATTTGCGACAATTGTTTTTTTTAAAAAATGGAGATATGGAGATTTTTTTGTGGTTTTTCGATTTATTTAGTATATTTTAGGAAAAAGGCTAAAATTAAGAACAGAAAAATAAATTATTACTACTAAAATAGGAAAAAATGGGTAAAAATTGACACAAAAATTACATGAACGGGGCATGCTCTGTAAAAATAGTAAATGAACAAATTCAATTTTTTCAATTTTGTGATGTATTACTTTGCTATTCCTTTTTTAAAGGACCTTCAGGTTAAGATATACTTTAATTTTTACAAAAGCTAGAGCACTTTACCTTAGTTATTATATGAAATATCTTATAAAGGCAGAAATTATATTAACATACAGAACTATACATTATGCAATAAAACAGTGATTGAAAAATCTGGATGTTAAAACACTTCTACTGTTATACAGAACATACTAAAAAATTTCAGCTAATTATTTTAAAAACTTTTTGAGCAATCGCATTCCTCGTTTGAACTTTTCGAAAAAAAAACATTTCGAGTAAAACTTATTGTAAATTCTGACATCTTATGTAAAGTTATGGTATCTGCCTTTACTAAAACAGTTGTAGTTTTTGTTCTAGCGAATGGAAAATAAAACACTTGTTTTTTTTATAAAGCTAATAAGATGTCCTGTAAATTAAAATCATAAAAAAATTTGTCAATATAAATAAAAAAAGTCACGATTTATGATTTTAGAGTAGTCGGATACCTTAAAATGCTGAAAGAATTTATAATAAACTTTTATGCTGATTGCAATTTGAGAAGTAATATTGAGCTGTCATTAAAATATATTTGAAAAAAAATAAAAAGAACATGGGAAAAATTTTTAATGCTATCAAGCACAAAAAAAAATGTTTAATACTATCATTCTAAATTCACGAATAGGAATCCTGAAAAACTCTCTGCTTTATAAGCAATAATTTTGCCTCAGTAGACTAGTGATCCTGATTACAAATTGTGACTGGAATTATCCAGTCGCAGAATGAAGATCTGATTCCATTAAAGACACGCAGTATAGAGAGTCTGATGCACGTAGAATCTGTTGGAGCTCAAAATCTCCACGTTGGCGTAGTGTAAGGTTTACGGAGTAGGTTGCCGTCTCAAGTGTTATCCTCGTCACTAACAGTTCAAAGTTACGAGGTCCGCCGCCATGTTGCTTTGTGTATTTCCATAGAGAAATGTAAACAATGATATTTTTGTGCAACTGAATAGTGGAAGGGAGGGGGGTTCTCGAAGACTAATTTGCAGCTCTGCACTTTTCGTATGAGCTCTGTTCATTTGGACAAAAAGCCAATACATGTTGCTTTCAGAGTTGAATTCATGTTGCTTTGGAGAGAGATGTTATTGAGCTCTAGCTTGTACAGATGATAAATAAAGCTAACAATTTTAATAAATATTTTACTCTTTAAATTTAATGTACATATTTTTTTCTTTGAATCTTTCTCATTAATTAAACTACATCCGATAGGGAAATTATATCCATTCAATATAAGTAATATTATTCCAATGATGGTTCCACCTTTTCCCATTCTTACTATTAGTTCACTCTCCCTATAAATATATATATGTTCAATGTGTATGATTGTTTCGGTTTTTTAAATGGAAAAAATAACTTTAAAATCATTAAACATTTATTGCACTTTAAAAAGAAACATGCACATACACCACAGCAAGATCATACCACATTGAATATTAAAAATCGGTTTTTCCTTGTTTTTGTACCAAACACCACATAAAAAGCAACAAAGAAAAAGATAATTTATTCCTAAGCCATACTATTTTACCCTGCTTCAAGTATACTTAGTTGAATTAAGAAGTTATTTATAGCAGTGGCTCATCTTTTACAGCCGCGGTTCTTAAACTATTAGTCGTCGTCGTCTCATTTATGTATTATCCTGACATCGCGGAATCCCCAGATTTTAAACACCTTTCCTTGACTCCCAACACATGGCTCAGTGTATTAAAGGTTCTTTAATAATTCTAAGAGTGCCTCTGCTACCTATATACAGATTTTTTTTTTGCTTTCAGATAAATGTTAATATCTATTTTTAAAAAATTACGTTGCAGTAATGGATATGCAGTTGCAAACAATAAAGAAACGTGAATTAATATTCTTTATCGAAATAATATTCAAGAATTATTATTTCATTGGTAACAATCCAGCTATTTTGTCTAGAATAGAACATTTTTCAATTTTTTTTCACGAGGACCATCAAAGTATGTAAAAGAGGGTTGATTGATTGATTGAATATTAACGTCACACTGTTCAGCTACACGAGGGCTTTTGGTGACGGACCACGTAATTTTGAACCATGGTCAAGTGACGTGGACGACACCTGAGTTGGCAACCCCTCTCCTAACTACCACACCACACCAACGGGAGGATGTTTCAACTCTCGACAGATTTAACGTGCATCGCTGCCCTACACGGCGGGTATTTAGTGGTACTGGGCTCGAACTCGTGACAAGGCATGCCACGATCCGATATCTATACCACTCGGCTACCGCGGCCACCTGTGAAAGAGGGAAATAACATTAAATGAGATGCCTTCGTGAACTCCTTAGAAAGGAGCTGCGGATCCCAAGGGTCCGCGGACCACAATTTAAGAATCGCTGTTTTACACCATTTGGAAAGAGGGACTTTAACCATAATATCCCTATCCTCACGGGCAGTGATGTAACGAGTTGTGTAAATTCAGCCCCGCTGGTTCGTCGTTTCCTCCTGCATCGAGAGATGGCAGATCTGCATCACAGTTTGTTTGGTTTCGTCCAACAAGTTGACCGGTTTCTCTGAAGAATAATTCGCAATCCATATAGGCCAGCGTTTCTCAAACTGTGGGGTGCGCCCCCCTAGGGAGGCACGATAACTCTACGAAGGGGGCGCGAGCATATTGAAAAGTCGAAAACAAAAGAAAAAAAAGAACATTCTGGCAAAATAAAAAATAAAATACACATTTGTAGTGATATAATACACTTATAAATGTATCAGTACCTCACCATGTATTTTATAATTAATCATAACAATACTAAATTAAGAACAAGTTTAAAAATTACCAGTGACCCCATGGACTTGTCATACAAAAAATTATATCCCAAAATTAATATTTATCTTGATAATTTGTAAGGTTTATAATTAATCCTTCAGAGCTGTCTGTTACCAAAATCGC